GCAGTCGGCGCAGTCACCTTTCGCTCTTCGGGCACGTCGGCAGTTGCTCAGTGTGTCGTGTCTCGCCTATCTCTTTTTCTTTTTCGCGCGTGGCCTTCCGATTTCTTCTCGACGTGGAAAGCGCAAAAGGCAAAAGGCAAAAAAAGGCTGCGTTGCGTGCGACAGCCACCCGATGAGAAGCAGAGGCGCGCAACCGGATCTACCGATGACAGCTCGGCAGAACGCAGCCAGCCGCTGACTTACCCACGCCAAGATCCGCCCCCGATGCCGGCTCTGCCGAAGCAACTTGTTGGGAAAGCAAGAGCAGCTCGCATGCAGCTTCGACCTGGGTTGAAAGAGGCAGCAGCTGTCGAGTGCCCCTTTCACGCCCGAGCGCAGGCCTGCTCAACTCTCATTCGCTGATCACCCACGCCTCGACTCGCTCGATAAGAGAAAGCGACTGGATCGCAAAGCTTCTATTGTCCGAGAGAGTGAGAGCGAGAGAGAGCGGGCACATTACCGAAAACAAGAACTGGATCAAAGGTGATGCTACTGTAGCGAGGGAGCAAGAGATGAAAAGCAAAAAGGGCAAATCCAAAGCAGAGGGCCGTCGATACGGTATCAAGGTGCAGTAGCTGCGAGGCCTAGGCATCGGCGTGGATCTGGATCTCGATGCTGAGGCTGCTGTCGTCGTCGTCGGCGTGCTCGCTCGAGGCGGTCTCGTCGTCGTGCACAGTGTGATTGTGCTCGACCGACATGGCGCGGCGCACTCGTCCAGCGCCGGCAGTGTCCCTCGCCCTTGCCTGCGCGGCGAGCAGCGTCGTGGGGTCCGATACGGCGCGGGCGCCATCGTTGATGCTGCGCACCTCGCCGCCAGCGATGCGCACACGCGCGGCACCATCCAGCCGTGCCTCCTTGCGCGCATGCTGTCGATGAGCGGGTTGGCTGGGACTGTCCTCGCCATCGCGAGGCACCAGCCCAGGCGGCGGGATGAACGGCCTCGGCAGCGCAGCAAGCGGTTCGGGCTCGCTCTTCTTCTGCGCCCAGTCTACCACGGGCACGCGGTACTGGTCCGTCGCGTAGAAGAGCGGCTCCGGAAACACCACCGGAGCAGTGGGCATCGATGTCCATTCGGCGAGCACAGGCTGGGCGAGCTGCATCGCGTTAACCATCGGATGCGCGGGCGCCCACATCGGCGGTACCTGGATGCCCAATCCACCGGGCCCGTACAGGTTCGACGAGATGGGCAGCTCGGGCGAAACAGGCACGCTGGGCATCCCCACACAAGCGCGCGAGGCCACCAAGCCCGACGGCCTCATCTCTCCCCCAAAGTGTCCGGATCGCACCTCGCTGCTCTGCATGGCCCGCGTGTGGACAGCCGGCGAAGGCGTGGCTTTGTGGTTGAGTAGCCCGAGCGATTCAAGCGTGTGCTTCTGCTGCACCGAATGCTTGAGGTGCTTCTGCCCCTCGCTGTCCGCAAACCGCACCTGGAGCGGCAGCGTTGTGCCGGGCAGCACTCGACCGTGCAGTCGCTCGATGCACGTCCGCGCGGTTTGGCGATCCAACAACCGGACGAATCCGACGCCCTTGCTCTCGCCATGCACGTCGTACAGGATCTTGAGACTCGCCACCGGATGCGGATTGAAGAGCTGCTCCAGCTGCGCCTCATTCAGCTTCACCGGCAGGTTCGAGAGATACACGTTGGTCGAACTCGTATCCGTCATGCGTCGCAACCGCGCCGAGAACGATTCCTAGATACAAAAGTTACGCAACCGTCAGCGATCGACAAGGCGGGAGAGAGGGGTGGGAGGATCGCTTACTTTGGCAAAGGACGCACTGAAGCCGTGCGAGTTGAGCCACTCGATCGCAGTGGTCGCCATATCGGGCGTGGCGTACATGAGGAAGCCGAATCCTTTGCACAGACCCGTATGTCGATCGAGCATCGCCTTGTGGCTGATCACCACGCCGCAGAACGAGCCGAGCAGATAAAGCGTGTTGTCGTTGATCCTGCCACATCGCCACAAATGGTCAGCTGTATGCTTCCGCGCTTCTTCATTCAAGGGGGGGATTGTGGGACTTACTCTTTGGGAAGACCGTTGACATAGACATTGGTCTCGCCCGCCTTGTTCATCCCGCCACCCTGACGCAGCAAAGCTTGAGCATCCGTCTCTTGAAGTTTGGCCGAGCGCAAGGCATGATCAGGCTTGCTGGTAGTGTTAGGAGGAGCTCTTGGAAGGAAGGGTGAGTTGTGGGTGCATCGATATGCGTCTCCCTTTGGCTCGTCGTGTTTCTCCGCACTTGGTACAAGGGTAGCCGAGCTAGGAGCGGGCGAGAAGACGGGATCGTCTCGCATGAGCTTGAGTGGGGGTAGCGTGACTTTGCGATCGAGTGGGCTGGGTTGATCGATGTCGATGGAGAGATCGCGACGCAGGATGCGCGGACGCCAGGGAGTGGCAGGAACCGTCGTACGTTTGTCGCGCATCCGCTCGTCACTCCACCGAACGCTAGACGTACACGGCTTATCCGGAGACTCGGTCTGACCTCGTGCCATCATCCCAACAAAAGTATAGCGTGTACGCAGGTGAGGGGGAACGAAGGAAAGTCAAGGAGGAGGAAGCAAGGGAGTATATATCTCTTCGAGGCAAGGCGGACGAGTTGCATTCGGATCGACACTGTGGATCTCCCGTGCCTGCCAATCCATCCGTCGCTCCAGGCACTTGAACTCTCCCTGCACACAGCATATACCTCTCTCACCCTTTCTCCTTGCCCCCTGAGAAGAAACGGGCCCGACGCCACCACCGGGGGACATGCACGGAACCCTCACTGTCTCGGCTCCACGCCGCCACATGCAAATGCGCCCGCACACGCACAAGCACAAGCACACCCAGCCCGCCCAAACATGCAACCATCTTTATTCCTGTTGTATGCGTCGGCTAATGATACAGTCGAGTGTGCGCGTCGAGAGCAATTTCCGCTTACCCAAGCCAGCGCCGAAACCCTCTTGGCCTCCGCAGCAACGCATGTGGCGGAGCGCACCCACGTCCGCCGGAACCCGCGTGCATGATGGGTCGGAGGGTATATGCACGCGCGTGTAGCCGTGTCGCAGATCCTCCCATTGCCAATCACTGGAGTTCCACACTGGCGGCCAAGACGAATGTCTATGCGGTTGACCACTGGGCAGCGGTGGCGTCTGCCTCACTTGGTATTCGTAAAGTCGCCCGTCGAGTCGTCGATCAAGCTCGCGCGTTTCTGCTGACGCTGGGTGCGTGTTGCGCTGCTGTCGGCGGATGGCCTGTGGCCGTTGGGACTCGCGCGCAGTGCACGCTGCACCTCTCCGACGCGTGCGGCGTGCGTCTTGCCCTGCCGGATCATGGGCGAGGTGTCGCGCATCTCGTCGTCATACTCGTCCTCGTCCAGCCGCGCCAGCCCGAGCGCCTCTTCGTTCTCGTACGCATTGAAGAGCACCGACGATCCGCCACTGCTCCTCCTGCCGTGCCCAAACACCGCGGCACTGCGACCGCCAAAGCTCGTCCTGCCGTTGGCGAGGCTGCTCATGGTGCGCTGCTGGTCGAGCAGGCGTTCGTGCTGCTCGGACATGCGCGTTGTGCCTTCGCCCGTGACGAGCGACATCCTCGGCTGCTGCGTGACTGGATCGACCATGCGGTTGAGGTTGAGCAGGTACACGCCCGTGAAGATGACGATGAAGCCGCCGAGCAGCGAGACGGCGGGTGCGGTGGTCGTGTTGAAGCCCTGGAAGAGCAGCACCGAGGCAAGGATGGTGGAGGTGGTGAAAAAGACATAGTAGATCGGGTTGACGACGTTGGTCGAGAACTGGTCGAGCGCCTTGTTGAAGTAGTTCATCTGCGTGAGGATGCAGACGACAACGACGATGGCAAAGCAGTAGGTGGACGGGTGGCTGAACTGGTTGCTGCCGGCAAAGGTGAGCTTGAGCGCGACGCCGAGGCCCTTTACGCTCATGACCGAGATGGAGCCGACGAGCGAGCAGATGGAGATGTAGACGAGCGGCGTCTTGCGGCCGTACTTGGGCACCATGCGGAAGATCATAAAGAGCGAGAAGCCAAGCACAAACATGCAGTAGAGCATGAAGCCCGGCTGGAGTGCGTAGTTGAGCATCTCGTCGATGGTCTGGATCTCCTTGTCCTCGGGCGCGTTGACGACGATGATGACGGTGCCGACGAGGCAGAGCGTGCATCCGACCTTGCCGAGGCGGCCGAGCTCCTCCTTGAGGATGAAGGAGGCGAGGATGGCGCCGATGAGCACGCTGAGCGCGCCGAGGGGCGTAACGAGGATGGGGGGCGCAAAGGTGTAGGCGGCAAAGTTGGCGACCTCGCCGACGATCATGGTGGCCATGCCGGCCCACCAGATGGGGTTCTGGAGGTAGGTGTGTCCGTCGGAGGCGAGGCCGTTGTGCCTGTCGGCGGCGTCCATGAGGCCCTTTTTGGTGATGATGAAGCTGGTGCCGATGGCGAGCGAGCTGCTGATGGCGAGCGTGAGGCCGATCCACTTTTGTTGTGTGAGCGAGGATTGGTTGGTCTCTGCGGGCGTTGGCGTTTCTGGCGGCAGATAGCCGGGACGATCTATGGGAGCCGGAGCAGCGTAGCTCGCGGCCGTGCATATGAGCATGGCGATGGTTGCGGCGTGCAGCATGCGTTGCCGCAAAGCGGCTAGGGTCGTGCGAGACGTGAACATCGTGAGGGGCGGTCTGGAGAGCGAAGAGTGACGTTGGAGGAGGCGTGGAGGGTGAAAGCCGAGGCGGTCCCGCAAGCTCTAGTTGATGTCGACAATGAACGATTAGGCCCAGACGAAGCGGTTCGTGTAGCTTATTGTGACGCCTTGACTCGTTCCGTGATGATTGAAGGAGAGATTGGAGCAGGAGCGAGAGATATGCAGGGATCGACGTTGACAATCGTCTCCGCCAGCAGAGACTCGGGTTGAGACGCGTTGAGGAAACGACTCGGGGAATGCTTGAGACGAGGCGCGATGCGGTTGCAATGGTGGTGGCGTGAGGGCGTGCGGAAACGTAAGTGGTGGTGAAGCAAAAGTCCGGCGGCGAGGCGAGCAGGTTGAAGCCTGTGGCGAAAAGCAAAAGCTGGAAGAGATGGCCAGACAGGGTCGAGGAAGCGTAGCAAGAAAGGGCGGCGTCGGACTTGGAGAATGGCGGCGGCGGCAGTGGAGTGCGAAATGCGTCGGGCCAACGAGGGGCGCGGGCACGCTGCTGACTCTCTGACTCTCTAGCGCTGCTGCCGGCCGGCGAGCCAGCGGCCGAGTCGCCTGCCTTTGCCCACTCATCCAAATTACGCGTCGAGGCTGCACTGCACTGCACTGCACTGCACTGCA